TACCCTTCTGCCCGTGTTACCGCTTGTTCGCTGGACGACCGACTCTCGGGCGCATGCGCACGAGACCGGGTCCTGTCCTAAGCCGTATAGCCGCACATCAGTATCGAGTACTACATGGGGCAGAATGTTACTCCCCCTTTGTTGCGCTGTGTTAACAACGAGTACTGACGATTAGGAAAAGGACAGGATGCCCTTGACTGCTCTGCGAACGTCCGACGGCGGAACGGGCTACTATATGCCTTTCTCAGGTCTGTAGTACCAGGTTAGACGGCCGTCGAGGCACCGTTAACTTCCTAGCGCACTTAGCACAACGAGATGTCCTGACAGAGCTGTGGAAGACAGAAGATCCCGCTTTTCTCGCGATACTTAGAGAACGTGTATGGTCTAACGTAGAAAAGATTAGTCAGGTCAGGTTATAAATATAGTCTCTGTTACAATCGACATCAGACTTATATTGATTGTTTCGTTCGAAGAAGAAATAAAGTGACCAACGATTGTGTTTCGTAGAATAGCAAAGGGTAGTCGTGAAGGATTGTAATGTGCAAGTACACTATCCATTGTCCACTCCTACGACCCTACGGGAGTCCATCGAAATAGGAAGTGGACAATTGTCCGTCTCTCTACTGAACGACGGTTGGAGGACGCCACATGGACAAAATCGTCTAGTAATAGTGTTGTTGTGACCCTCGAGTAAACACCTACGTCCGACCTTTTTTTTTCCATTATATGTTTCTGTTTTCTTTCCTCCAGGTTAATTGAGTCCCATAAATTTGTGGGGTTTAATGTGGGTATGATCTTCTTTGATTTTGGTTCTGGTTTTGTCTCTGTTTTTTCCACTTTTTTCATTTCCGAGTTAACATGAATCAAAACCAAGTGAAAGAGGGTCGGGAGTAACTAATTTTAAACAAACATTTTTTGGTTTTAATTAGAAATTCTAGGTTAAAGAAACGATTTATTTTTTTTATTGTTTGACATTTGGTACTCATATACTCTCTGTACATAAATTTTAGGTTGTTGCATTACGGTGCGTATTTCGAAGGTATAGAGAGAGCTGTCGCTTCTTATTTGTTTTGGCAACTCCCCGCGATTTAGTGTTTTTATGATATACACTTAAACCACAGGGTCAATGGGGGAGGGGTACAAAGATTCAGACGGGGACCTACTCGCCTCCTACTTCAAATAATTAGATATACCCTCCTCATCCACTCCAACTTTGGTTACACAGTAATATCGTTGGGGTTTGGGACGAAGTACCTGGTACCGACTGGAAGAAAAAAATGGTGTCTGTTTATGTTTTTGTTGATTATATAAAAAGATGTCACATAATGACCTTTTTCTTGGGCTCTTTCCAATTCAACAAACCTTATTACAGTGCACAAATTATGAAATTTCCGGTCACTACCGTAAAGGTGACACCCTATGTAGAATAGAGGTCTTTTTAAGTAAAGTTCCTTGTCTTTTTAATATTGTGGTGTGTAAAGCGGAAAGGACTAAAAAGGGCGTATAAAGGGCAGGTTGGTCTCTCCTGGGGTTAATTTGAACTTAATCACTTGTTTAAAGTTATTAATTACACTAATTTTTTTGTTAAAGGATTTGACTTTACATTAGGGTGGACTAGTAGAAGAAGAAAACGTAATAGAAAGATCGAAAACACACAAAAAACAATTTACAATGAATATGATTAATGGTGTGCTAGGTAGATAACATGAGACAGGCAGGACCTCTCCTAGGAAGACAAAAGAGAGGCCTCAAAGAAGGGAAGGGGGGTATTGACCCCCCAAAGAAACCTCAAAAAGGAACAGGCTACCACCTCCAAGCGTACCCTGTCTCCGCACAGAATAGTATCAAGACATGTTTTGACATTCTCCGGGGGACTCTGTTTACATTTACACACTATAACCCGCCATACTTTAACTTTTGCAACTCAACTAACTAAACTTATTGGAATTTGTTTTTCATTTCATAATGTTACTGTAATTGGTCACTGCCATCTATCTACTTCATCTATCCGATGACCAATTGGAATTCTGTTTAGTGGAGTGTAGAAACGCAGCACCACTTTGCAATGTCGTAGTACAGAGTTCTTTGAGTCAGACCTCAAAATTAGTTCTACAAAACATAAGTTCTAAGACTACTACTCTAACCATTATCATATTATGATCTAACAAAAGTAGTCGTACCCTACGAACTTAAACATTTCGGGTACTTTTGGTTGAACCCAAGTTTTCCAAATTGATTTATATAACTTAACTCTGCTACACTCGTCCCTTGACGAAAAGTGACTACCTGACTACCAACCGGCCCACTAACACGCGTGGAGACCCGGGACCCAACAGGGAGGGGGGATGGACACAGATTAAACACAAGACGATCAGACCAACTAAGGAGCCACACATAAATTCCACGACAGAAACAACACGACCTCAGTCACCACACACCGACGACCAACCGCGTCCGACCCCCGTACACTCGTCAAAAACACCGACACAACGTAAAACACATTTACAAAGTTATTTACGGGCACCAACATAAACCCTAAGAGACGGAGACGGAGAACGAACCAGCCGCGCACGTTTGCCAGGGAGTGTTAACCACAGTCTTCACGCTAAGCCTGGTTGCACTTCCTTACTAGACTCTCCTGTTCTTCTCCCTGTATCATCTCCCTGGCGCAGACCCCACCTATACGGGGGACCCTTGACTGGTCCACCCCGGGTGCCTGACGACTTCCGTCGTCCTCTGCTCTCGTTCGTCGTCTCTGCTCTACCTGTTCGTCGTCCTCTGCTATCCTCTGTTCCTCCTCTTCGATTGCCTGTTCGATTTGCCTGCTCGATGCCCTGCTCATTGCCTGTCGATTGCATGGGTGCCCTCAGCTGCCTTGGACCAACTAATCCCCGTCCTGGTTGCGGACACGGTTGCGCCTGTCTCGTCGAAGCCTACCGCCGCAACCCGGCCCACCAGACCCGAGGACCACCAGGGCTTGGGCTCTGATATCCTGTGACACGAAGGCACCCCTCTCCTCCTCCTTTACACTGCGTCCCTTGAACGACGTAGTGATACCAACTACTACCGAAAACCCGGCCCCACTAACCACGCGTGGACCCCGGGACCCAACAGGGAGGGGGGGAGTGGACACAGATTACACAACAAAGGGAGTGGACACAAACTAAGGGAGACACAATAAATTCACTGACAAAAACAACACGAACTGCAGTCACACGTACACTCGTACGACCCACGGTGTCCGACCCGTGCACTCGTCAGAAATAACCCGACACAGTACACACATTAAAATTATTTACGGGCAGCCCAATATAAAACCTTTAAGATTTGACGGAGACGTGAGGAACGAACCAGCTCTCAGGCGAGTTGCCAGTCAAGGGTGTTCTGTACAACTCTATAATCTACTGACAAAAACAAATTTGCAAAAACCTCCTTGCTTCTCTGTCTCTCTACCTCGCCTGGACCAAGATGGACGTCCCTCAATCTGTGTTCCGCCGTCCTGGAGGTAAATGTACGAATAAGTGACTAACGTCTCCTTCGCTAGTTCCCACACCACACACACACACCGACCGACCGACCGACCGACCGACCGCTTGTGTGTGTCCGTCCAAGTTCTCGTCATGTGGATTATAGATCACGGACGTAGAAGAGATCACGAAAGACGTGAGCGGGCATATGTATGTTCGTGCGTGCCTGCGTGTCGTGTGGGTGGTGACGGTCTGACTTTTGTTACGGACCTACTACGACAAACCGTACCATGGACGTCCACTGTAAGTGGAGTCCACCTAGTCGTCCGACAAAACTACACACTGTGAGAAGTCGGTTGTGGTTGAAGAGGACAACTTGTGTATTCCGAATTATTTCTGTTAGAGCTTAGTTTGTGAGATTACTTATTCTCCTTTTTAGACCAATATGCCCAGTTAAGTTAGTTTATACTTTGTAGAACTGATCAACTATCTATGTGTCCGGTGTCTTTTGCCAAAGGTCAGTGTGTAAACGAGACTGTGTTATCATTAATGTCCCTCGTGCAATTTCACGTACTAAACGTTGAAAAGACGTAATTTTACCGAGATTTTCCTTGTGATGTGGAAACCATTTCTTGGCGTAAATAATGCAAGCCACCGTTAAAGATTGGGATATATAAACTGGTATACTTGCCTAAAATAAGTGGTACTGTAGACTTACATTATAAAATATACAAGTTATTTTACATGTACCTTGAGTTTTTATTAATGTTCGTATGACAGCATTCTCACTATATTCTTGTGTTAATTGTGTGTTTAATCTATCGGTTAATAAGTTGCAGAGCACAGTAACTACGCCAGCTGCCTCCAATCTGTTGATTAGTAGGCAGCAGGGTTCGCTACAGAGGCCTGGTGGTTATAACTTTTCGGTTATTAAACCACAGACCTCGTGGCATTCCTCTGTCCGAGATACGCCACCTACACACGGTCACAATAAGCCCATGAGCGCCGTGGTAACGCCTCATGTGGATATCACTGCACACACCTCCACTCATCCTCTGAGCGTGTACGCGCCTCATGATGAGAGTCGGAGTGAAACGCAGCGTGTGGAGGCTTCCTCACAGCCCTTTCGCTCTAGGCCCACCTTGGGTTGCCTCACGGGCAGCGGCGGCGAGGGCTCTGGCGTGGCTCGTCATCATGACGACCACAACACATCTCGAGCATGTGCGCCCGCTCTCAGAGTGTTTCTCGGAGTGGCAGCGCGTGTGTCTGATGGACAGATGGATGAGCAGGCTGATCAGCAGAGGGTACACCCTGCAGTTCGCCTCCCCCCCCGCAGTTCAACGGGATACAGGAGACACGCCTGTCATCCCGAGAAGAGTGTCGGGCGCTCCAAGCAGAGCTGCGGGAACTCCTGTTGAAAGAGGCTATTTCCAGGGTTCCCCAAGGGGAAGAAAATCAGGGGTATTACTCCCGCTACTTTCTTATCCCGCAAAAGACGGGGGGAATGATCTGTCAGCTTTCAACGAGGCAATAATGAAAAGGCCTTTTCACATGCTGACGGTCAAAAGGGTGCTAGAGTGTGTTCACCATGGAGACTGGTTCACCTCTATAGACCTAAAGGATGCATACTTCCACGTACCCATCATCCCACAACACAGGAAATTCCTGCGGTTTTCATTCCAGGGAATATCGTACCAGTACAACCGTCTGCCGTTCGGTTATTCCCTGGCTCCTCGCACCTTTTCAAAGTGTGTAGAGACGGCATTGCAGCCGCTACACAGAGGAGGGATGAGAGTAGCCTACTATTTTACCTGGACGACCTGCTGCTGATGGCTCGCTCCAGGGAGGAAGTGGCTTTACAGACGGTACAACTCATATCGCATCTGTCAAAGCTGGGTTTCATGATAAACTGGAAAAAGAGCTGTCCTCTTCCCTCCCAGAGTATTGTTTACCAGGGTGTGGAATTGAACTCAGCCCGCATGAGAGCGCGACTCTCACGGCAGAGAGTGGAGACGCTGACAGCTCTCCTTCGACGCGTCACACCCCGCAGCATGGTGTCAGCCCTCTCCGTGATGTGGCTGCTCGGCATGATGGCAGCCGGTCACGGGGTGATTCCCCTGGGTCTCCTTCACATGAGAAGCCTCCAGAGGTGGTTTATTCGCCTACGCATCGACCCCGTGCGACAGAAGAGGCGCATGGTGGCCATCCCTCTGTCCGTGGGTTCAGACTTAACCTGTTGGAAAAGTCCCCACGTCCTGTCAGCGGGTGTGGCCCTGGGCAGAGTTACGTCACACATCTCAGTGTTCACAGACGCATCTCTCTCAGGGTGGGGAGGAACGTGCATGTCGCAGGCAGTGGGGGGACAGTGGCTGGCTCACATGTCCTTCCACATAAACGTGCTGGAATTCATCTTCGTACGGAGAGTAATTCAGCATTTTGCCTCGTTGCTGCAGAATCAGCATGTGTTGATTCGCACAGACAACAGAGCCGCGGCAGCCTACATCAATCGCCAGGGCGGGGTACGCTCAGCGCAGCTTCTGAACACAGCCAGACGGCTGTTGATCTGGGCGCGCGCACACCTGCTCTCCATCAGAGCACTGTATGTGCCCGGCGAATTGAACAAAGGGGCAGACCTCATGTCCAGAGGAGGTCCTCGCCAGGAGGACTGGAGCCTACATCCCGAGCTGATCACCCAGGTTTGGAGCCGGTTCGGGAGGGCGGAGGCGGATCTGTTAGCCGTACGCGGGAACGCACAATGCGCCCTCTGTTTCTCCCTGTCAGCGCGGGACCTCCCCCCCCTGGGGGTGGACGCGTTCGCACATCGTCCATGGCCCAGAGGAATGCTGTACGCTTTCCTACCAGTCCCGCTGATTCGTCGGTTCCTGGACCGAGTGCAGGAGGAGCGGCTGTCAGTGATCCTAATTGCCCCGGAGCGCACGGGCGCTTCCTGGTTTCCATGCCTACAGCGTACGCTGTCAGGCAGGCCGTGGGAAATTCCGTGGCGCGGGGACGCTCTCTTGCAGGTGGAGGGAGCGATCTACTGTCACCCAGTGATAGGCCAGCGCTTATGGTTATGGCCCCTGAACGGGAACACTTAGAGAGGTTGGGTCTCTCTCAAGATGTTGTACGCACCATTCAGGGAGCCAGGGCCGTGTCTACCAGAGCGTCCTCCACAGCCAAGTGGGCAGCGTTCCAGCGTTGGTGTGTAGAAAGAAGCCTGGACCCCACTACGTGCCCCCTGCCTCACGTGCTGTCATTCCTCCAGCTGTTGTTGGACAGGAATTTGGCTTTCAGCACAATCAAGGTATATGCGGCTGCCATATCATCTTGTCACGTGGGTTTCGGAGCCGGGACGTTGTTCAGTCATCCCCTGACGAAACGTTTTCTGCAAGGGGTACGAAGACTCAGACCGGTATCACGCGCACTGGCGCCTCAGTGGGATCTGGCTTTGGTGTTACGAGCACTAAGCAAAGCCCCATTTGAACCTTTAGAGCAGGTTCCCCTTAAAATGTTGTCAGCCAAAGTAGTACTGCTTTTGGCTCTAACATCAGCAAAAAGGGTGAGTGATTTCTCCGCTCTCTCGGTGGCCCCGTCATGCCTCCGGATCCAAGGAGATGGCAGTTCGGCTGTGCTACGTCCTAACCCAGCCTTTATGCCAAAGGTCATCACAAGCTCTTTTAGTTCAAGAGTGATCACCCTGGATGGGTTTTTTCCGCCTCCTCATAAATCGGAGGAAGAAGCCACATCTCATCTCCTCTGTTCGGTGCGCGCGCTGTCCTGCTATGTGGCGCGCACGGCGGCCTGGCGCCGTTCTCAGCGCCTGTTTGTGCACTATAGAGAGCGCTCGATCGGGCAACCTCTGTCTGCACAACGGCTGTCACACTGGCTGTGTGAGGCTGTGTCACAGGCATATGTCTCCTCGGGGACGGAGCCCCCGGAGAACATCAATGCGCACTCCACCAGAGGAATTTCCTCCTCCACGACTTTGCACGGAGGAATGTCAGTGGAAGACATTTGCACGGCTGCATCTTGGTCTTCCCCCTGTTCATTTATTCATTTTTATTTGAGGGATGTCTCCCATTCCTCTCTGACACACCCTGTACTGGGTGTCCTGTCGGAGTGAGTGAGGTCAGGGAGCCAGCTGTGCGCCTCTCTCCTGCCTTTCGGCACGCGGAGAGCGGCCCCTTTTTTCTCTCTTATAGGAGGGCAGTGTTTCCCCTAGGATGGAGTCATAGCAGCGGTGCTAAGGCACGCGGGCCCAGCAAAATGTGAGCGCGGCGCGCGTGGACATTTTAAGTGTGTGCGCGTGCGAAGTGCTNGGTTAATAGCCAGCAGGGTTCGTTACAAAAGCCTGCACATTTTAATCTATCGGTTAATAAGTTACAGAGCGCAGTAACTACGCCAGCTGCCTCCAATCTGTTGATTAGTAGGCAGCAGGGTTCGCTACAGAGGCCTGGTGGTTATAACTTTTCGGTTATTAAACCACAGACCTCGTGGCATTCCTCTGTCCGAGATACGCCACCTACACACGGTCACAATAAGCCCATGAGCGCCGTGGTAACGCCTCATGTGGATATCACTGCACACACCTCCACTCATCCTCTGAGCGTGTACGCGCCTCATGATGAGAGTCGGAGTGAAACGCAGCGTGTGGAGGCTTCCTCACAGCCCTTTCGCTCTAGGCCCACCTTGGGTTGCCTCACGGGCAGCGGCGGCGAGGACTCTGGCGTGGCTCGTCGTCATGACGACCACAACACATCTCGAGCATGCGCGCCCGCTCTCAGAGTGTTTCTCGGAGTTGCAGCGCGTGTGTCTGATGGACAGATGGATGTGCAGGCTGATCAGCAGAGGGTACACCCTGCAGTTCCCCTCCCCCCCCCCCCCCCCCACAGTTCAACGGGATAAAGGAGACACGCCTGTCATCCCGGGAACAGTGTCGGGCGCTCCAAGCAGAGCTACGGGAACTCCTGTTGAAAGAGGCTATTTCCAGGGTTCCCCGAGGGGAAGAAAATCAGGGGTATTACTCCCGCTACTTTCTTATCCCGAAAAAGACGGGGGGAATGAGACCCATCCTCGA